AGCAGCAGTTCCATGACGTCTGTCACTGCTACTTCTACCACATGGACAGCAAGTACAACTCTGTCAAGCACATCAACCAGTACGTCCGGAACGGTCACCTCCATCACGAGCAGCAGCATCAGCAGCACGTCCAGTTCTTCTAGCACCTCGACAACGAGCAGCTTCTCCAGCACGGTCACATCTTCCACCAGTACCACAACGACACGGACATCTAGCACAAGCACTTCCAGCGCGTCCAGCTCAACCAGCAACAGCATCACGTCCACTTCCAGCACCTCAAGCTCAAGCACATCAATAAGTGCTACACTGAGTACGACGACATCAAGCACCTTCACAAGCACGTCCACAACTAGTGCCTCCAGCTCAAGCAGCATGACCAGTTCCACTTCCACTTCGAGCAGCAGCAGCTCCAGCAGCACCAGCGGCACCTCCACAACATCCACGAGCAGCGCCTCGACGACTAGCACATTCAGCGCTAGCAGTTCAACTACGTCAAGTGCATCCATCACCACCACCGGTACCTTCACGTTCACATCCAGCACGTCCAGCACACAGACCATAAGCCGGACTTCAACAACATACACAACCACCACTGTGACTGATTTTGTGATTGCTTGTCCTTTCCAAGACTGGATGTGGGCTGTGATTTTGACAACCATGATCGGTATTGCATGTACCGCGGTGCTTATTTATGGAGGAATTGCAAGCACTGTTGTCCTGCATGTTTCTCACATGCAGCTTTCGGAGCCGCGAGGGTCGGAGTCCGGGCAGAGGAAGGGGCCGAGGGGCTCGGAAGCTCCTGTCTTCTTTCTGCCCTCTCTTCGTATCCCTCCTGAAACGCCGCCGGTTCCCCGGCCCTGCCAGCCCTGCCAGCCCTGCCCGCCGCTGGTGGTGCTGGTTCATGGAGCGTGGACGATGCCGAGTGCACCGAGGATCACACTCCAAGAGGCGCCCCCATTCCCGCTGTCCAGAGCATCGCGCCGGTGGAGGGAGCCAGCGCCCTCCCCCAAGCTGCCGCTGCTGCCTTGCACGCAGCTGCCAGCACCCGAAGCACACGGGCAAACTGCATTGCAGGCTGAGCATCCGGGCCCCGGGCCGCAGGTGCAACCGCTGTGCAGCTGGCGGAAGCGCTGGAAAGCTGCAGATCCCGCAAGTCCTGCAAGTCCGCCACACCTCGCTGGGCAGCTCGGGAAACAGCACGCAAAGGTGAGATCTCCAAACCCGACTGTTTTGGCAGCGCGGAGTCGGCCACGTGTGCAGCTGGTCCCAGTGTCGCAGCTTCGCGTTCGCGTGCATCTCAGCCAGATCCGGCAAGAGAGGCTGCAGCGGCACGATCCGCGAGCCTTGACACCACGCAGCCGCTGGATTGGGTTCTTGTTGCCGAAGCGCCTGCCGCTGCAGCCGGCTTCACCACCCAGCACGAAAGGCCCGGAGACCCCCGAAACACTTTCTCCAACTGCCGCGACGTCTCGAAAGGGGGGTTCGGTGGGAATGTCTGGGCAGATGCGGCGCTACAACGGTACACCGGTTTGGAGCCTCTCTGGCTCCAGCCTTGGAACTCAAAAACCCATGCCTTCGCCGGGGCCCGGGTCCTACGATCCAGAGTACATCAGCTTCGACGAGTATATGCCGACAAGGCTGAGACACTCGAAGGCCAGAAAAGACCAGGGCCGCATGATAGCAGAGCAGGCACAGAAGGAGGAGGCCCGGAGACAGTCCGAAGCCCGGAAGGAAGCCAAGTTGCTCGAAGAGCTCAGGCTTCAGAAGCTGGGCTCTCTCTCCAAATCCAAAAACCTTCCAGCGAGTTGAGAAGGGCTTCGCTGTCGGCTGGGACTGGCCAAAGATATGTCTGTCGCTCTGTTTCTGAGCGGAATCCCCAGCTCTTAGCTCCCTGCCTCGCCGGAGAAATTGCGAAGGCCCTGGTTGCGAGGGTTTGTTGCCGTTCCTTTTTAGCCGCTACAACGTACTGTAGACTGTAGATCCACCTTGCAGGCTGTACAGTATTGCCCTTCGTTTTTCGGTCTCATCAGCCTCCCACTCTTCACCCCCAATTCCAATACGTAAGACTTAAGACAACAGCACTGCCTCTTCTTGCAGACGACCTCTTTGCCTCGTAGGGTTTGAAGGGGGTTTACAACTCTAAGTTCTGAGCTTGGAGTTTCCGGAGGGGTTTCCAGACGGTTGTCGTTTGGTTCATTGGGACGGGCAGGCCCGCAGGCATTGGGATCGCTGAATTGCACGACCGTTGCCGTTCTCAGGCTTTGATCGGACTTAAGGCCGTGGGACTTTGGAGGTTTCTGGGCAGTTGCGGGAATTAAGAGATGTAGGGCAGCAGCATGAAGTAGTTGGCACCATTGGGCTGCCTGCAACGCGATGGCAGAATTCGAAGGCGCGGATTCGGGCTTTGGGTTTGACGATGAGTTTTCAGCCCTCCGATGCGCTGCCGTGTACGGTCGAAGTTCAAGGTCGCAAGGATGCGTAAGGATGCCAAAGGAACTCCGGAGCTTTGTTGGTTTTGCTGTGTTCTTCTCCTCGTATTAGTCATTGCTACAAAATTGCCAAAGAGGCTGCTGCCACTGCACTACAACAGCACCAGCCACAACAACCACGACTTCCACCTACTTGCTCCTGCTCCTGCTCCTGCTCTTACTGCTGCTGCTCCTCCTCCTGCTAAGACGACGACTACTGACCAATTAGCTAGCAAACAAAAAATAAAAAACTAACTGCTGCCTCGTACTATCTACTGACTAGCTTGCTAAAGCTACATGCGCGACTCGATTGCGCTCGAGCCTGCAGCCCTCATATCATCGTCAAACCGAGGAGGAGTCCCCAATCCGCTGGTCCCTGAACACAGACGCTCAAACTTCGGACTTGCTGAGAGCATTTGGGTCCTCAAAAAGCCAGAGGGATCGCCATAGTCACTACCAAACTTGTCGCTTTCAAGGCCGGGACGTGCA